CGCTTTGGCGCATCTTACCCAGCACTACAAAGCCGGTTCTCAGCTCGTTGGTGGTGCCACAGCTCTGGTAGAAAGTAGCTGCTCGATGCCCACTGTTCCACACCTTTTGTCCCGTCCAGTAAAGTTCCTGCAGTGCTCCGACTTCGAAGTTGCGTGGTTGAAGTTCGTCATAGATTAACCTATCGCAGCCCGGAAATCCAAGCGATTTGCAGTTCCATGTTCTGAGTTTCCAATCGTAGTCCTTATTTCGTCGCATAGGTCTGTGCCGATTGTTCCGATCCGTATTTCTTTCTTCAGTATTTGCAACGTTGTTTTTTTCCAGGGCTACTTGTTGGGCCTGCCCCCCAACCCCCTGTCTCGCCGGGGGACCATCGTGCGCAGCTCTGTCTCACGCTGGCACTAGGACGGTGATCAGCCGCTCCTAACATGGAGAACAGACGCTGTTATGAGCCGTACCTCCATGGTGAACAGACGCTCAGGTTTGGTGAAGCATTTCCTCTATCACCGTACTATGGTTACCACGCCAGTGTTTGCGTCGCGCCTCTTCACTTTGCTATTGCCGGACTGGCAACTTTCCCCAGGCTACGCCACCCAGCTGTGTCCATGTTTCAGCTGGTAGTCTTTTGTTATCATTTGACTCGAGGAGGCGTGAAGTAGGAACTTGTGAGGACCAGGGCTAGCTATTCCGCTCGTTCCAGGTTGTCAACTCACCATTTGTAGCCCAATCTCTGAAGTCTCAAAAATTTCTGTTTATGTCAGTAGAGAAATTGCTGTCTTTATAAGTAATTTATTTTTTTACATTTGTTTTTGCTGAGTTTTTCATTATTTTTATTTCAGTATTTTGAAGAAATTGTGAGTAAATTTAGCAAAAAAGTTTTATATTTTTTTTGGTTTCATACTGCTCAAGCTACGGTGGACTGTACTGCACTGGTCGGTTGACGGTACTCGTGTTCCCTTCGAAAACCGAGCCGGGTGGGAGCAGGAACCTTCGCGTTCCTTCCCAGGAGGGCAGCTGGCCCGAACACATAGACTTGGCTTCACTCGGATAGCCACGACGTGGTTGGATTGGACTAGCTTGGCTAGCACCAACCTTTGCAATAACTCGCTAACTTGAAAAAGGCTGAAACTTCTAAAACTCTTATTGTAATGATGGTGAGTGTTGGATTGGACGTTCGGAGATCGGATGCAAAGCGCGGGAGAAGTTCACTTATCACACGGATATATTTTCCTTCTCTACATATTTTTAATTTTAATGTTCTCTCTTCAACTGCTAAATTTATACTGAATGCACCGCAGTGGACACATTCCTTTTTATGCTGTTGTAGCTCTCCTCTACTTCGATGTGCACCGTACGGTGAAATTAATCGCGATATCGCAGATGCTCTCTGTTCTGCTTCCTGGATGGGCTTCTTTGCACTTGCTTGGTGCGACACAGTCGATGGTTGAACGAAAAGTTGCGTTCCCTCACAGTTGTACCCCTGCTTTTATGCTCACATTCTCGCTCACTTTGCAAAAGGGGCGGGCGTTCTCTCTCAGTTGTATCAAGATAAAATGAGGGGTTAGTGGATTTTCCTATGTTTCGAGGGGTGAATCGATTAGCTTGGGACCGAAAACAGTACCAGAGCTGAGCCAAAAAGTTGAGCACGTTTCTTCGGGACCTTCTAGTCTTAGAGTTACCTCTATGGTTGTACCCCTGCTATTATGCTCCCAGTCTTGTTCACTTTGCAAAAGGGGCTGGCGTTAGTAATACATTTCCTGCTCACTGCTAGACGCTGCTTCTTCTTCAGTTCGGCTGTTGGTGAACTGAACACATACGATGGGTAGGATTAAAATGTTTCTAATTTTCTACGATTTTTATTTGGGGACTGAGATTAACATGGCTGGTGGCTCTCTTCGTGTGCCGGATTGCGGGTCCATGTCTCGAACTCAACAACAGGCAATGTTAGTGAGTTGTTCAGCTTTAAAATCAGTTAAACATCTGAAAGTCGATGCAGAAGTACATAAACTGTCCAATTCCGTGTCAGTTTCTGCGCTCTTGCGTTGGCTTTCAGATGTTTCACTTATTTTCACAAATATTTTCTATTGTCACACAGAGATTTCCAAACAAGTTCGACGTATAGACGTCTTATCAGAATTAATTGAGAGCTGTGACTTTGAAGACTACGTGATGTTCCATAGAAAAATCCGAAACATCGGTATAAGGCGTCAATTGTTGAAACTGATCCGAGAGCTTCGTGGTTTTGTAAAAACCACTCATAGACGTCTTATCAGAAGGAATTTGAAGTTGTGACCGAAATATGGACCACGTTCACCGGAAGATCCGGTACATTCGTAAAAGTGGTCAATCCATGACACCGATTCTAGGACTCCGTGTTTTTTATCATTGAGTTTTGACCAGTTAATGGTCTACTGGAAGATCCGGAACATCAAAAAAAGTGCTCAATTCATGAAACTGACCCTAGAGCTTATACATGGTTTCCATTGTCCATTGCAATCATTTAATAGTTGACGAATTCAAGTAAATTTGTTATTGTTGAACGTCCTTTGAAGAATCAATGTAACATGTTTTTACTCTATTTTTGACGTGTGTCAGGTTTGTTGCCACTTTTAAAAATAGGTACTAGGTTGGAGCTATTCCATCTTTTGGGGAAGTTGCCAGATTCCAGTGAATATTAAAATTAAAAATATATAGTTTGATATAAGAGGTTCATATCTAGCATCCAAAACCCCAAACACGACAGGGACTGCATTTAAGTTACTTAAAATGTGAAAGTCTTTGAGGAAAATCGATCAATGCAAATAGTACCTTTTGAAATGTTTAACTAGAAATTTTTGATTTTTCATTACCATTTCGCAAATTTTCATTGAAAACTGATGTTACATCTTGGTTAATATGAAAGTTATGTAAGTTATGTTTGTATCATTTTATGGAGGTAGGAAAATGTTTGATTCTTGATCCTGGAATTATGATCGACAACATGTTTTATACTCACCTTAAGAGTAATATTTTTCAGTAACGTGTCTTCTAATACCAACTGAAGCTTTTTGTTCACCTCCAACATCAATTCCAAACTCATCTCCGATGTTTTAGCGTTACCATACACCGCATTAATTAAGCCATTATACAGCTACAGAAAGAAATAAATAAATCATTGATATCTCCACCCAACATTTAGGGGCTGTTCATAAACTACGTAGACTCTTTTAGAGGGGGTTGACAAATGTCTACGGTCAATACAAGTTTAAAAAAAATGTATGGACGATTGTCTAAACGGGGGGAGGGGGGTCTAACATCGCTAAAAATCGGTCTACGTAGTTTATGAACAGCCACTTACGTTTGTTACACATGTGTATGAAAACAAAGAAAAAGAAGACATTTCATAAGAGTTCAAAAAAAAAAGAGAAAACAATGTCCATATTTTTTCGAATTTTTCACTATTTTCCACAATAGTTAAAAATACACTTAAGTCGGTCTTTACGAATTATAGCATCGCGAATAAACAGAACAACCCAACGGCTAAGTTTTTATTTTAAATTACTATTGAGAAAACAGAGCTACAGAAAGTGAAAACCGTATAAATGTTTATTTTTTTCCTTTATTAACGAGACTTTCAGCCTTAGGCTATAAATGTGTATTAAATGCATACTGCCACCAATTATAACGCAAGGGCAGGCAACCTAAATAGCAGCATGCATGAAGCATAAAACCTAATCTAGAAAATGAAAACATCAGCAGAGTGGCAGACATTGAGCGAGAAAATTTCATTCTACTCCGTGACGAAACAAGACATAGAAGACAAGAACCTCAGCTATCTCGTTTCTCGATTTTTGTGTGAAATAGGTTGGAAGAGTGAAATCGGAATTCTATTTCGGAATCGTTTGCTGAACTGTTTCGCACATCTCGTTCGGGAACTTTTATTCTCTTTTCGTTCGCGATTATCACATAGCTAGTTCTTCAGCAAACTGATTCTCTGAAGAACTGCGAAAGAACTTTTTTTGAAAGTGAACTTTCCAAAAAATGGTCCAGGGTAGTTTGTCTTGGATTTGGCTTCGGATCGGTCGTAGCTGGTGCCTTCTGCTCCTTTTTGTTGGTTTGACGTTGAAGCTTTGAGAGGCTTTTGTTACCGAATAGTGTTTTGAAGGCTTCATTTTCCTTCCGCAGGGCTAGTATTTCATCATCTTGATCCTTGGTTGCCGATTCGAGCAAGGTTACTTGTTGCGACCCAGAACTTATAGTACTAACATGAAAGCACTAAATTACGAGTAAATTATACATACAAAATGAATTATAAATAAACTTAAAAATACCCACCACCCAGAACACCGCTTCTACACTTATACATCTATATACATCCCAAATTGATTACGCTTTACCTCACACTGAACACGACAAATAAATCAGATACCTAAGAAATACAAAGCAACACAGACCAGTTTCTGCACTCTCGTCCGAAAACTATCTCGGTTCGCGCCAGTCCGCCCAGTGATTAAAACCATAATTTCGCCGTTGTTCACAAGTTCGCCTTTGTCGTCGTGCCGGCCAGATTCCGGCACTCAAGCAAGAACATTTGGTGCCGAAACCCGGGATCACATTCCGGACAGTGATTGCGTTCCAACGGAACAATCAATTCGTCGCGAAAATTTATAACCATTCGAACCGTCCCGCGTGGGCTTTCACTGCGTGTATCTGCCCAGTACAATAGAAGCTACCGTTTAGTGATTGTTTTTCCTCACGCTGAGGTTGTGAGAAAGATTGCCACACCGCTCCCGCAAAGAGTGTCGTGCTGTTGGAGATAATTAATTACCGGTTGCTGCTGTAGCTATTTTGGACTGCATAGGATTTGGACCGCCCCAGAGTGCCGTCGTCAAAGTACCCGTTTGGCCAACCATCGTCGCAGTATCGCCGAGAAGATTTCATCCAACAAGTCCACGTCGTAACGATCGAAAGGTTAAGTACGGTCGAAGCAGGTGAGTGACCTCTTTTTCTTTGTTGAGGCAGAATGGCTACCGCCACGCGGAGCAAAAAGGCCAAGCAGCTGAAACAACTGGGTGCCAAGCGGGGCAATCTACTGCAATCAGCGCAATTGATTCGCGAATTTGACCAAAATTATGATCTTTCGCAAGCAGCCGAGATTCCATTTCGGCATGATCGTTTGGACAAGTTATGGGATGAGCTGGAACACGTTGATATGGAGCTTGAAGCACTTTGCGGTGATGACCCTGGCGCCGCTGAAACTCGAGCCGAGTTTCAGAACTTGTACTATCGATTGAAGGGTTCACTTACGAGAAAGCTTCTAGATCCTACCCAAGCCAATCCGCCTGCTCCCGTACAACAACATCAGATTATGCTCCCTTCCTCTGGTGTGCGCCTCCCAGAGCTAAAAATCCTAGAATTTGATGGGAACCCTGAAGATTGGTCTGGCTTTCATGACTTGTTTAAATCCATGATCCATGACAACTACCAATTAACAAACATTCAGAAGCTACATTATCTTCGAGCTTCGTTGAAAGGGGATGCTGCTCGTATCATCTCATCTCTTGCCGTTTCTACGTACAGCTACACTGTTGCGTGGAAGTTGATAACAGATCGTTACGAGGACAAGAATTTGTTGATCAAGCAACACATCTCTGCGCTTTTTTCGGTTTCTCCGCTGCGGAATGAGTCCGCTTCTGGCCTTTCTGAACTGGCAGATGAGTTCGAGAAACACGTGAAAATCTTGGACTCTCTAGAAACCAAGGCGTAGCATTGGGATTCTGTGTTGGTGGAGCTCCTTTTCAGTCGTATGGATGCCACCTCACAGAAACAGTGGGAAAATAACCGTGACAAAACCCAGCGTCCTTCGTACGACGATCTCATAAAGTTTATCCATGATCACTCACGCACACTGCAGTCCCTCAAGCTCTCCCAATTAGTTTGTACACCGTCGATGGAGGCCAAGCCTACGAAGTCACGACAAGTGTTGGCCCATTCGGCCACAGAACAAACTTCTAAATGCGCTGCGTGCAAACAAGCGCATTGTCTGTTCCAATGCGAGGTCTTTCGTGATCAAACTCCGCATCAACGTTTCGATTTAGTTGAATGGAACAACTTATGCATCAATTGCATCAAAGCATCCCACGAAGCAAGAAACTGTACCAGTGGGTGCTGCAAGTATTGCCAAAAGAAGCACCACACTTTGCTTCATCTCCCGTCGTCCGCCTCCTTGATGATGGGTGGAGCTCCACCAAACAGTCAACACACTGAATTCCCAATGCATGAAACAAATCCCAATCTGTCGCTTTCTCCTCCGGTTCCGTTCAATAGTGGCCCGGATGTCACTTCGGTCAATCGTGCGTACCCGCTCTCGTCGCCGTTGGTATTTGCGCCTCGCCTGCCCCCGTCGGAAATAGTCACACCTCCTTTCACCGCCTGTCAAACCGTCGCACCAGCAAATGTTGGTGAAAATACTGTGATTTTGTACACCGCACTAGTGAATATCCACGATAACCTCGGGCACAGTCAAATCGCTCGTGAACTCCTAGACAGCGGCTCACAGTCAAGTTTCGTTTCCGAGTCGTTGTGCCAACGTTTATCGCTCAACCGAGTGAAGATCAACATGCCTGTAAGCGGCATTGGGCAAGCAATTGTCAACGTACGTTACGTAGTCTCGGTGAGCATCTCATCCCGATTTGGGTCACAACAATTCCCATTGCATTGCCTGGTGTTGCCGAAACTAACGGTGAACCTTCCAATGAAGACGGTGGATATTAACACGTGAAAAATTCCCAAGCATCTACCGTTAGCAGACCCACACTTCTATCAAAGTCACGGTATCGATTTAATTATCGGTGCCGAGCTTATCCCGTTCATTCTGCAATCCGAGCAGATTCCGTTCGATGACCAGCTACCACCACTCCAGAAGACAAGCTTCGGATACGTATTCTCGGGAAAGGTTCCCGCTTCGATGACCACTCCACTTATCTGCTTGGTCTCCGCTTTCGACAACCTGGACGCACAGGTGAAAAGGTTCTGGGAAGTGGAAAACTTTGATGTCGGGAAATGCCTGACTGCCGAAGAACAACAGTACGAAGCCCACTTCGCATCTACACATAGTCGCAATGCCGACGGTCGTTATGTAGTGCGTCTACCTGTTAGGCAAGAACTTCTACCGTCTATTGGAGACACGTGGAACATAGCAGCTCGTCGATTTTCTGCCCTTGAAAGACGGTTCCGCTCCGATGAAACACTATAAAAGAGCTACACCGATTTCATGGAGGAGTACGAACGGTTAGGCCACATGGAGGAAGTGAAGACTCGCGTCGCGTTACCCCAGTATTTCCTGCCCCATCACGTAGTCCATCGTCCCGACTCGTCAACAACCAAAATAAGAGTCGTGTTCGACGGCTCGGCTAAAAGCAGCAACCAGCTCTCCTTGAACGATCTTCTTCTCACAGGACCAACAGTTCAGCCTTCCATGTTGTGCATCGTTGTCAACTCTTGTTTCCACCGATTCGTCATGAAAGCAGACGTGGAGAAAATGTTTCGACAGGCTTTGGTTCATCCGGACGATCGCCTACTACAGCAAGTTGCGTGGCACCGAAACGAATCAGAGCCACTGAAAACCTATTCCTTGAACACTGTCACCTATGGCATATCTTGTGCTACGTATCTAGCAACCAGAGTCCTAAACCAGCTGGCGGACGATGAAGGGCATGACTTTCCACTTGCTGCCCCCATTGTCAAGAAAGAATTTTATGTAGACGATGTTTTAACTGGAGCCGAGAGCATCGGAGCTCTAGTTGAAACCAGCATACAGCTGACCGAATTACTAAAGCGAGGTGGTTTCAATCTGCGAAAGTGGAGCGCGAATCACCCCAGTATTCTGGAACATTTTCCAGAAGAACTAAAGGAGCATCAGTTGCCGCTAGAACTCGACTGATCTGCATCGATCAAGGTACTAGGCCTACTATGGTTTCCAAAGGAGGACGTATCTGGATTCAAGGTCCCTGATTTTCCAGCCCTGCCACACGTTACGAAGCGCCTCGTACTATCGGAGATGTCGCAGTTATTTGACCCCTTGGGTCTGGTCGGACCAGTGGTGGCCAGTGCGAAGATGTTTGTGCAGCGATTGTGGCAGGAGAAACTTAGCTGGGACGAAAAGCTACCGGACGTTGTGCAATCATGGTGGCTGTCCTTCCGAACAACAATTGGTATCGTTCGGAATCTTCGAGTCCCTCGGTGGGTGTTCGAAGAGAGTGTAAAAAGCTACGAGTTGCACTGTTTTGTCAACGCTTCTTCCAAAGGGTATGGAGCGTGCATCTACACAGTATCAACAGGACCTTCCACTAAACGAACAAGCCATTTGCTCATAGCAAAATCACGTGTTGCTCCAGTATGTGGTTATTCCATCCCACGGTTGGAACTCTGTGCAGCCGTACTTGGAAGCCAGTTGGCTGATACCATTCGTAGAACAACCAAGTTTGACTCTGCGGTCACGTTCTGGTCAGATTCATCGATCGTTTTGCACTGGATTAATTCACCACCTTCGTCCTGTAAGATATTCGTGTCCAACCGAGTATCGGAGGTCCAGAAACTCACCCAAGGATCCCAGTGGCGGCACGTTCCAACCCTAGAAAATCCCGCCGATCGTTTATCTCGCGGAGTACAACCAGATGATATCAAGAACGATGCACTGTGTGGGCATGGGCCGTCCTACTTGCTGAATGAAGTGGAATCGTGGCCAGCTCCTATAATTCCATTAACGTCTACCGACATTCAGCATCATACACCTGAGCAGCGGCAAACGGTTGTACTCCTAAGTGTCACATTTGACGATTCGCTAATCCACGATTACTCACAACTGTCGCATCTTATCAAAGTTGCTTCATTCTGTCAACGTTTCGCAAAAAACTGCCGATTGCCGAGGATGGCTCGTACAGTGGGACCAATCGTTCTGCTCCTCATTGCTAGTTGTTCCAAAAGGAAAAAATGACATTCGCTTGGTTATTGATTTGAGAGGTCCAAACAGATGTGTTCACAGAACCCCATTTAAGATGCCGACGTTTGAATCTATTCTAATGGAGTTGCACGGGACAAAATGGTTTTCTACCATCGATCTCAAGAATGCATTTTTTCATGTTGTACTTGACGAGCGTTGTCGACATTTGACCAACTTTTTCTCAGGTGATGCGCTATATCGATGTCGTCGGTTACCTTTTGGTCTTTGTAATGCTCCAGATATTTTTCAAGATATCATGCAGTCTGTAATTCTATCGGGATGCAAGGGAACGGTCAATTACATGGATGACATACTCGTATCTGGAAAAACAAAAGACGAGCATGATATGAACCTGAAAGAAGTTCTTAAGCGATTAGAGGATCATAATGTCAAGGTCAACGGAAGTAAATGCTCATTAAATAAACAAGAAGTGACGTTTTTGGGATTCAACTTGTCTGCTGACGGATGGAGTGTAGAAGATGAGAAAATAAAGGCAATTCAACGCTTTCGCAGACCAGAAAACCAAGATGAAGTAAGGAGTTTTCTGGGGTTAATCAATTACGTCGATCGATTCATTCCTCATCGAGCAGACAAAACGTGGTGGTTGAGAGAACTAGCAAGAGCAGATCACTTCTACTGGTCCGATGACTTAGATCTAGAATTTGATTACTTACGACGCACCGCTTGGACAAAGATCAAGACCTTGGGTTATTACAATCAATCTGATGAAACCGAGCTCTATGTGGATGCCTCGCCTCATGGCTTAGGAGCTGTCCTAGTGCAATTCGATGATAAATCCAACCCGAGAGTCATTGCTTGCGCTTCGAAAGCTTTATCGTCGGCAGAACAAAAATACCCACACACGCAGAAGGAGGGTTTGGGGGGGTGGAAAGATTCTCCAATTACTTGTTAAGCACTACTTTCAAGATCAGATCAGATGCAAAATCAAATGAATTCATCTTCGGAGGCATGCATCGCATCGGAAAAAGGGCTGTTTCACGAGCAGAGGCATGGGCACTCAGGCTGCAGCCATATGATTTCACCGTTGAGTGCGTCCCAGGAGACATGAACATAGCAGATACGCTCTCTAGATTGGTAGTCGATAGAGTACCAGCAAGATCCTTCGATGACTCATCTGAAGGACATTTACTATTCGTACTTGATATGGCAAATATGGAAATGAATTGGAACGAAATTGAGCTAGAAGCAGAGATCGACAAGGAACAGATTGAAATTCGGGAATCTATGAAATCTGGTGCATGGAGCACGGAGTTGAGGGCCTACGAATGTCAAGCTAAGTATTTACGGTTGATGGGTGCTCTAATTTTCAAGGAGGATCGGGTAATATTGCCCTTGAATTTGAGAACTAAGGCAATCGAATTATCACACCAAGGCCATATAGGTGTAGCATCGATGAAAAGAATACTGCGAAATAATTTCTGGTGGCCCGAAATGAGTAAAATTGTTCAGAAATATGTAGATAATTGTGATACATGCCTACGACTTTCGAAGAAAAATGCACCTCTTCCCAGTAGGGAGCTTCCACAAGGACCGTGGGAGATATTGCAAATCGATTTTTTCACGGATAAAGATTTTGGCCATGGAGAATTTTTGGTAGTAGTGGATACTTATTCCAGGTACATCCTTTAGCTGAGAGCCACCATAATAGTGATAATCAATCAATCAATATTCCAGGTACATCCAAGTGATTGAGATGAAAAACATCAATGCAGATACAACCAACGCTGCTTTGGGCAAAATATTCG